ATTAACCGACCAGGCGGATCCAGGATGGTTATCGGGCATTTCCTACTTGTCCTACATGACAAGTATTAAGGTGACCCTCGTTCGCAGTCTCTTCCTTCCAAGTTCGCCTTTGATCTTCCTTTCTTCTCTTCTCCTTCTCCTTCCTAATTTACTTTCCCTTTCTTTCCTTTCCTCCTCTCATTATTTATTATTATTATTTTTTTTGTGGGTTTGTAGCAGATTAAAGACTTGCATTCTTAGATACAAGCTCCTGTATTGCAACATAAGATTGCGTAGAAATGGTTCAGCCTAAGATTAGTTTTCGTTTACTAGCTCTCTCTCTCAATCTGAACCAGCCAAGCTCGCGACTAAGTTCATCCGTTCTCTTTTTCTAGTTCTAAAGGTTTATCTGTTCAGCATAATAATACACAGAAACGGCAACGAGATGGACAGCCAAGGCTAAGGAGTGAGGAACAAGCGGTAAGGCTGCAGTATTTTATGTTTGTCCATTACAGTGAACACTGCGATCTACCTAGGTTGTTGTGTTGCGGTGGCAGTCCCTGGGCTACGGCTGCGTTGTTGTACCTCCACTGAGCACTGCGGCACAGTTCGTTGTGTGCCGCTACTTCGTTGAGGTGAAAGGACAAGTGTAGGCCATGCGAGTGCGGCCGTCTAGGCTGGATAGCAGTCATTCGGGCTTTGAGAAGGGAAATAATGCTGCAAAGTGGGGGTTCGTCAAGAGAGTGAGGACGGTGGGTTGACTTCAGGTTGACCAAGCGGTTAAGAGCAGCCTTCTAAGAGTCTCACACTTTTCTCTCTCTATCTTTCTAAGTCTAAGTCTAGTCTGCCGGTTACGAGGGGAAGGCGGCAGGTGGGATTGCAACCCGTAGGTCCGCATCAAGACTCTGTGGGGAGTCCACCCACCGATTGCGGGAGCTCTGCCGGAACCTAGGCGAGGTTCTGGAGGCAGGGAACTTTCAGGTAAACCATTTCCATCTGTACAAACCTACTACTACCCATGTTTGCCTATCTCCCTGTAGTATGATTGCGGTATGCATGTGYTGYCCCTATGGTTTTTGCTTTCTCTTCAGGACCTAATCAGATTGAATGGAAGGAACGTGTGAGAGTGAAACCTAAGTTTTTTTTCTTTATTCTGACTGAAAGCAGACWAAGGGATAAACTGGGGRAAGGTGGGAGGAAGGCWGTTTTGCATRMGTTTGGAAGGGTCAACCAAAGCCTGAGCATTRTYTCTACTGTGAATGGCTCAGGGCTATKTTTATTTGACTGTTTTCTGAAGGACCAGGCATTGTTTCTACTGTGAATGGTCTCGTTGCTATGTTTATTTTATTGTTTTCTAGGGAACCAGGCATTGTTTCTACTGTGAATGGYCTGGCTACTCTAGTTAACTCTTAGGGKTTTTGCSTGATTRAAAGGGTTTAAATTCTTGTTTTATTATKAGGGAGGATTTTTKGTCTAAGGCTAAGCATTGTTTCCATGGTGAATGGCTTARCCTGAAAACCACGCACGTAAATTAAACTAAGTATAAAGGAAAAATACTTTATGTATAYTTGCATGTGAACTGACAGCWGGGCATTGTTTCTACTGTGAATGGTCCAGCGTTAAGCCATATCATTAAGAAGGGAGAAGGAAAAATGCAGAGTATAAATGAAAATAGTTTGGGGCAAGCTGAACATCGTTTCTACTATGAATGGTTCAGTCCCCTGTCCATATTTGTCTTTTCTTTTTATTAAAGTCAGAGAAGTATTAAAATCTTTGGATATTAAACAGCTCAGGGCGACTAGGCATTGTTTCCATGGCGAATGACTTAGTCATCTGCCCAAAAGAAGAAAAAAAAGTAGTTGTGCAACCTGTTCGTGTATATCATAAAGACAAGTTGGGCATTGTTTCCATGGCGAATGGTCCAGCTCTATGTCTTTTGTAAGATGGGTATAAGGATTCAATGACTTGAAGATTCACGAACTATTTATATGGAATGAACTTGGGAGAGTGAGAGTACTTACATTCGTGGTTTGGTTTGCATGTGACTGGATGGGATGACTAGTTTGTTTGGGTTTTATTACTATAGGTAGTTGGTGTAGTTGCTCGCCACGTGCTGAAGCCATAGGAGTTAGTGTCGATTCCTGCATTTTCTGTAATAACGTTTTTTTACTTAGGTCAATTCCTGCATTTTCTGAGATTTTTTCTTATACTTGGCTTTGTATAAATCTTGGCGAGCTACTTTTCCTACGGGAAGCGCTGCCGAAATTTCTACAAATCCCAGAAGTAAGTCATTTTTTGACTTGTCAGAGTTCAACTTGTCTTTTTCATATATAGATTAGTATAAATATGGAAAGTCTCTTTTTCTGGAGGGAGTGCTGCCCAAATTTTTACTAATTCAGGAAGTTAGACAAAATTGGACTTTGAGAAGTCAAAGTTATTCTCAAATTTTGGACCTCGCTTTGTATAAAGTTTGGGAGAACACTTTTCTAGAGGGAGTGCTTCCGAAATTTCTGCAAAATTAAGGAGTTAGTTAAATTCAGTCTAAAAAGTTGAACTCGAACTGTGTTCGAGTTCATATCTGACTTAGTATAAATCTGGGAAGTCTTTCTTTTTAAAGGGAGTGCTGCTCAAATTTCTACTAATTCTCAGAGTTAGACAGAATTTGACTTTCCATAATTAGAGATTAATTCTGCTTTCGTATTTAACTTAGTATAAATCTGGGAAGTCTCTCTTTCTAAAGGGAGTGCTGCCCAAATTTCTACTAATTCAGACAGTTAGACAGAATTTGACTTTCCAGAATTAGAGATTCATTCTGCTTTCATATCTGACTTAGTATAAATCTGGGAAGTCTTCCTTTCTAAAGGGAGTGCTACCCAAATTTCTACTAATTAAGAGAGTTAGACATTATTTGACTTTCCAGAGTTAGATTTTATTTCCGCTCTCATATCTCGGCTTATATAAATTATGAAAAGATACTTTTCCTACGGGAAGTGCTCCCAAAATTTTCTTAGTTTAGAGGAGATAGATTATATTTTGATAGGTGATTCAGGCGATCCACCCAGAATAGGGGAGACTTTGCAGTTGGTCTACCTTTAGCTTAAGCACTGACTTAAAAGTAGACTTAGATTTAGCTAATAAGGAAGTTTTGAGCGAGGATGTATTATGAAGTTGTATTCTCCATACACTTATGATCTTAGCTTGGGGATTGGTCTGTCGTGTGTTACAGGTCCTTTTGATCATTTGATCCAAGTTCAGGGCTAGATCCAGCTTCATCCCTTGAGGATCACTTACTGTTATCACTTATAACAGGTCGGTTGCCGATTCGTCGGTCTACGACTCAATTTCAACTATCCCTCTACACTCAACCTAAAAGGCTTTAGCCCTGGTGATTTCGTTGTTTTATTAAGGTTTCACCCGGACTTTTATTGAATGGCCATTTAACAAAGATGTTGAGTATTTAATTAAGGTTGGTTGGACAGGAGGTTTGGGGCTTGCATGGCTAAAGCGAGGGGTATGAGCGTCGAAGGTGGTTGGGGTTAACTTCGTGTAATGTGTGGGCTGTTGATTTGGTTTGTTGATGTGATGGCAGGTATGTGCTGTGAATCAAATTTTGGATTTGGTTGCTTACGATCACACATATACGTATTATTGTGAGAGACCCCAGCGAAACCATGAGAAGTGATTGTCACATATTTAACCCTTATATATGTATACATGGGTATACTTGGGATGAATGTCTGCATGGGTTGAAGAGCCCCCACATTAGAGCCCGCTCAGAAGCTGAGACTAAGGGGCTTAGGGGAGGTCTCTCCTTTTATTCTTGTCTCTTGCTTTTTGACGATTTTCTTAGTTGGACGTTTGGTCCTGGGCCGGGATTCGAGGTCCTTGTCCAGGACATCCCAAGCCCTAGGCTCTGTAGGGGAAGGGTTTTCCCTCGCGAAGAGCCTTTTTTTATTTACCTACTGAGACACTCAGGTCGAGAGCCTAAGGTGCAGCGGCGGCTGCACGATTTTTCCTTCAGCCGTGCAATGTCGTGAAGGGTTAGGCCCTCACGACACTTCAAGTCTGACACTTGAGTGTCATAAGCGGTACTCGGATCCATGAGGGACCGCTTGATTATGGGCACTACATAGTTCGTCATCGTTGCGACTGCTTGTGTATGCCTGCATTGCAAGTCGATGTGAGTATGCCCTCCGTCCGCGCGGTTTTATACTAAGTTCAGCGCGCGACGCCTATCCGRTTTCCGCACTGGAAAGTTATGGGTTGGCTACCGAGGGGCTAGGAGCGTTGTCGCGTTGTTGGTATTGTGTCGTTTCGTATATATGTTGTTTTGTGTGTATGTGTGTTCGTAAAGTGGAGTGCGCGTGGTGTGTGGGATGCGTCCTAGTCGACCGACGATGAGTCACGCTTGGGACCTCGGCCCCCCCAAGACCCCGGTTCGCGTGCGGGTCCGATAGAGGCGTACCCCCTATGCCACAGCGAACGAGAAACGTCCTCGGCTGGTCCACCTCTGCGATTGCAACTGATTAGCTTTCGTACTGTGGACTGGTAGCTCGACGGGGATACACCCACCGAGGGGAGGTGACAGCTCCCGTAAGGTGTAGATAAGTCGTGCCTCGCGTAGGCCCTATCCTGTCGTAGGGGCTCGCGAGAGGTATGGTTGGCGCACCCGGCCGGAGCGGCTTGTGGAAGCTCCATGTATATTCTGACGAAGGGTTCTAAAAACCAACTTCTGCGTGACGCGGCCGGGAGGGTCCCGCGTTGCGCCCGTGCGGTGCCGGACCGATGCGCTCGACAGGTGGCGCCGCTGCCGGGGATAGCGGAAAGCCTCTCGTTGTCCCTGGTGGAACGTTATCCGGGTATGAGAAGTGAATAAGAAAAGGCATAAAGGAGTGATGAGAAGGTAATGAAGGAATATATGAATGACTAAGTGTAGGTGAGGAAATTTATCTACCGAAGTAGAAGAAGTATGAGGGACGATCGTGTTGACATTGGGTAAAGTAAGTATTAAGGGTTAGGTAGGATGGATGGAATAGACCGATCAAGGTATAGTGTTGAATAAAGGGGATGTGCTTGTTTTCTTTTGTCAGGGAACTTAAAAAGAAGAGGCTGTCAAGATGCCTGAGACTGGCGGCGCATCAGTTGTTCCCAAGAAGGGYCTGACACTCGATGACCTCATCGCGGCCATCGACCAACATGAAAGGAACCCGAGCAACATCCCAAAGGTCGATACTTTCCATTTCTGTGGGGAGAGAGTCTCAGAATGGCTARAGCGGGTGGAACAAGMTTTGGTCRGGCGGCCGGATGTTGTAAAGTTTCAACGCATCCTTCAGTATGTCCTCCACAGCTACCATCAGGAGGTGAAGAAAGTCATAGATGCGGCTCAAGGTAGGTGGGAGGGGTTCAAGGAGGGAATGCGGAGGAAATACCGCCTGGGACACGGGTTGTTGACTACCACGGACCTTGAAGCGATGAACAAAGAGGATTTTACGACTATAGGGGCCTTTGTTCAAGAATTTAAGAAGAGGGCGCGGAAGGTCTATGGGATTTCGGAGGAAGCACAGTGCGCCATCTTCCTGGGGCTACTCACAGCATCGGAGACCGTCGAATTGACGAGACATGGAGGAGGTAGCACTAAGCTCACCTGGGCCACCATTGACAGAGGGGTGAAAGTTGGGTGTTTGGACCAGGTGGAGCAACGTCAGGTACGCCTGCAAAGACAGAAGAGAAAGGAAAGAGATGCGACCGCTTCTGGGACCCCAGGAAAAACAAGGATTGTTACAGACGTATTAGCACAGCTAGGGTATGCGACAGAGCCGGTGGTGCAAAGGAGGGTGGTGACGGCTGCTAAAGTAAAAGGAAAAGAGCCAGTGATAGAGGAGGCTGGTCAGGAGGAGCTCTGGAAAGAGGAAGAGCCCGTGCCGCAGCACCTGACGAAGGTCCAACGCAAAGTGCGTAATTTGGCGCAGGGCGGACAGGGATCAGGAAAAGCGCAGGCGCATCAGGCCCCGGTAGCAGCCCCTTTAAGTATGGCGGCTCCATCATCTACTACGGGCCCCTCTCAAGGACAGTGGCCCTGGCCGGTGATCAACGCAATTGTGCCATGGGGAAGCATGCCGCCAGTAGCCGGACAACAAACGAGTATGCCACCACCCATCTACCCCGCGGCCCAGGCCCAACTTGTGGCCCCGCCACCGTCACCTGATCCCAGTTCACAGGGCAGTGTTGTAGGAGGTGGGAACCAGGCGCAGGGCAATCAAGGCAGTGAAGGGAGGGGTGGAGGAAAGGGGCGAGGCAAGAATGGCGGCGGAAGAGGAAGGCAATGGAATGGCCAAGGTCAGGGGTACCAAGGCCAAGGGAGTCAAGGCCAGGGGTACCAAGGCCAAGGGAGTCAAGGCCAGGGGTACCAAGGCCAAGGGAGTCAAGGCCAGGGGTACCAAGGCCAGGGCCATCAAGGCCGGGGGGATCAGGGAAGTCAGGGGTATGGAAGACCCCGCTTTGACTGGAGGACGGCCATCTGTCAACATTGTGACCAGCAGGGCCACACTATAAGGTTCTGTAATATAAGACGGGAAGACGAGAGAAGCGGACTGATTTCCTCTAGTATGGATGGGAATATCTACGATCAGTTTGGGGAGGCCATTGACAGAAGGCTTGGAAGAGTGAGGGCTGAAGCCCAACGAAGAGCGGCAGCTGGGCCACCACCCCCTGCCATGTTCACGCTATGGCAGGAAAAGGAGAAACCACCGTTTGGGGTGGAAGAAGTGGGGAGCGATGAGGAAGTGACCCAAGGGCTACGAGGAGGAAGTGAGACGGAAGAGGCGATAATCATTGAGTCAGATGACGAGGATGAGGAGGAAAGAACGGAGCCTCTGTCCGTCTTATTTGAGAAGATGGAGGACTTGCTGGATAAGATGGGGAGGTACCAACAGGAGTTGGTAGGCCTCTGTGAAGGAGTGAAAGAATGGAAGTCTAATGCCCCAACAGTATTCCTCTATGACTCCGGCCCGGAGTCAGCGCCTGGGCGACCCGGAGTAAATGTGGTGGGGTCGTGCCCTCAACCAGGAATGAGGGGGAG